CAAGATGGCGCCGAAAGCGAAGATGGAAGCTCCTGACCTTCCTAAAGCCGAAGCCAAAGTGAAGGCTTTGAAGGTCAAGAAGGCAGTGTTGAAAGGTGTCCACAGCCACAAAAAAAAGAGCCGCCGCACATCACCCACCTTCTGGTGGCCCAAGACACTGCGACTCCAGAGACAGTGCAAATATCCTTAGAAGAATGCACCCAAGAGAAACAAGCTTGACCACTATGTTATCATCAAGTTTCCTCTGACCACCGAGTCAGGCGCGAAGAAGATAGAAGACAACAACATATTTGTGTTCCTTGTTGATTTTTTTTTTTTTTTTTTTAAAGATGGGGTTTCACCATGTTGGCCAGGCTGGTCTCGAACTCCTGACCTCAGGTGATCCTCCCACCTCGGCCTCCCAAAGTGCTGGGATTACAGGCGTGAGCCACAGTGCTCGGCCAGCTCTTGTTGATGTTAAAGCCAACAAACGCCAGATCAAACAGGCTGTGAAGAAGCTGGACACTGACGTGGCCAACGTCAACACCCTGATTCGGACTGATGAAGAGATGAAGGCCTATGTTCAACTGGCTCCAGATTATGATGCTTTGGATGTTGCCAACAAAATATGAATCATCTCAACTGAGTCCAGCTGGCTAATTCTAAATATATGTATCTTCTCACCATTAAAAAAAAAAAAGTCATCAAGGTATGGTGGCACATCCCTGTAATCCCAGCTATTTAGGAGGCAAGGCAGAATTGCTTGAACCCGGGAGGCGGGGGTTGCATTGAGCCGAGATCACACCACTGCACCCCAGCCTGGACCACGGAGCCAGACTCTGTCTCAAAAAAAATAGCCGAAATATTTCTATTGGATTCTGAATACAGAATGTCCCTAGGGTAGAAATCTTACTTCTTATGCCTGTTATAGTATAATTCCCAAATGTACCATCAAAAAAAAGAAAAAAACAACTTATTTTTAAAAGTATACATAGAAATCTTTTTTCTAGGCTGGGAGCGGTGGCTGACGCCTGTAATCCCACCACTTTGGGAGGCCGAGTCGGGTGGATCACTTGGGGTCAGGAGTTCAAGATCAGGCTGGCCAACATGGTGAAATCCTATCTCTACTAAAATACAAAAATTAGCCGGGTGTGATGGTGGGTGCCTGTAATCCCAGCTACTCAGGAGGCTGAGGCAGGAGAAT